CTGTGGGCAACGGTGCTTGAAGTCGAAGTCCCCATGCATATCGTTGACGTAGGAGAGAAGGTACCGTGGTTACCACTTCAGAGCGAAAGGATGCTGCGGATTCGCGGCAAAGTGAGAAGACATCCCCCGAGCAGAATGTCTTCCGCATCAGTATGGCAAACAAGGACGGGCACATCACATGTGCGCGGGAGGGAAAATGATCCGCTGGGATAACAACCCACGAAGACAAAGAAGCCACAGTGCGTTGCAACGATGTCGATGACCAATAAGCCCGATCTTGGAGGTTCATCCGATGAGTGTCCATTAACTGAGTCACAACCGGCTGTAGATCTGAAAGGAGACTGGAACCATGTACATGCCAGCGGCGAGCAAGTTTGCGAAGTTGTGTGGTGAAACGTTGATGCAATAAGTCGACATCACCGAAAAACTGATCCTTCATTGAGGCGGCCATGATTTCAACGTCAATGTCCGCATTGATGCGAGAAAACTCATCCACCATTACAGCGTGACCATGTGCACGGTGTAGATGGTGATCGTCGATGTCCAGACAGCGACACGGAAAGGATGTTTCAGGAGTCCATTTGCGCTGCCATGTGCGGTAGTTGTATATCTTGTCGCCCAATGTGGCGCTGCGAGTTTCCACAACCCTGATCTTCGGAATGAAAAGAGAAGGGAACAAATCCCGATGAGAAGCAATCCAGCTTTGTAACCATGTGCCAAGTAGAGCTTTCCAATTCCGGACATGTAGCGGCGGTAAGAGTAGCTGTGTCAAAGTGGTGGGTGGTTGTAGCCGTCGTTTGCGCAGCACCTGGGCGAGGAGTTTCTGCGCCTTGGAGCGGAAGGGCTCGTTGACAAAGACTGCGAGCCGCAATAAGTAATACAGCTGAGTGGGAGGGAAAGCCGCCGACAGTAGGTCACGCATGACTTGGAACGACGCTCCTGTATTCGATCCCAGCTGATAGAGAATCGAGTAATGGGCTTGGATGTCATCCTGGATGTCAGGTCGTAGTTGCCGTTGGAGATCCGGATGTAGTCGTCGTCGAAAGCGCTTGTGCAAGCCGAGGGAAGTGGGAGACGACAGCGAGTGGCGTCGAAAATCCACAAGATGCTCCCGGAAGCCCACCTTGCGCAAGATTCTGTGTACCCAGGGCGCATTCAAATGCGGGCGTAGCAGGTATTGCCATTTGCTTTCTTGAGCCCACACCGAGGAAACTGGAAGTTTGATTTCCACTGGTACAGCACAGAAGAGCCAGTAAGTATTGGATCTTTTCCAGTAGTGAAGCGCTGGTTCAAAGAAGGCATGCCGTCCACGAAGTAGTTGAAGAAATTTGCGACTGCGTGAGTGTTCACGACGTAGAACATCCTGATCAGTCGCCCCAACATAGTATGGTGTGTGCCATGGGGAAAGTCGAATGTAGACGCACGGTTGTTGGTGATGACCTGGATCATGTATGAAGTCATAGAGGTCAGGAAGTCGCGCCCGCAATGAGCGTAGATGCCGCGTGTCAGCGAAAGTAGAGTGCATGATTTCACACAAGAGAGAAGTCTTGTAGAAGTGAAGGACTTCAAAGAACGGTGGGAAGTAGCCGTGATCTTGTGAAATGAGACGTTGTAAGAAACTAATCAATAAATAGGCAGTGCACCGACATCTGTGAAGCTCGTACCTGTTGGCCACGGTGTGCTGAGAGTTTGACATAGCGTGATTCGGAATCTGAAGGGCTATCCGGACCACAACTAAGACCTCGAGGATGAGACCCAGCCACGGCAATTGTGTGATGGATTCGTACTCCTCAGTTGGAATCGACGGTGGTGGTAGTCCAGGAAAACAGTACTGCCAGCACGTAGAGAATATGGTCAACGAGTGCAGAAGGTCGTCCAGCGACTGCCATTGTGCAACATCATCATAGATTCCGCAGCGGCGAAGTTCATCCAACATGGTGAGATGCAACCAACGAAATCTACCACAAGGCGGCGACATGAATACAAGCATCACAGACAATCACACAAGAGGCAATGCAAGAACGAGCAAGTACAAGATCAATCTGGTGCAACGCAGACACTTGACGGACGAGTTTTCACCTGGACTCATCCGTGACATTGTTGCCGCTCCGGGCTCATATGAGAACGAAGGTCATCATGATGCCTTCTCATCCACACAGTAGACGAGCGGTCACGATGAGGTGACTCAATGCCTTCTCAGTGAGTTTGGTAAGATAGCCGGGTTCTAGTCCCCACGAAGCTGCCATTGCCCCGAGCGTGGGTGCGTCGCCTTTCGGCATGCGTTGCCGCGCCTGAAGGAGCTGCGTCGCCATAGAATCTAATGACTTGTTGCCGTTGAGCCGGGTCGGGTGATTGGCCCACTTAACCAGCGATGCCAAAGTGGTTGTTGTGGGTGATTGCTTGAGAAAAAGGCGAGGTTGGTCACTGGTCCATGTGTAGTACTTGACAACTTCATCCGGCGTGCTGTTCATGGTGAGCAATTGTGACGCCGCCGGTTTGGACGGCGGTGACGACACTCCGTGAAGAGACTGGATGATCCGAGGTTGCACCACGCTATCAAACGACTTGCCATCCAGGGCGGCTGCGCTGGCTGTGGGAAGGGAGCTGGCAGGTGACGAGGATGGTGTGTGGTTGACCGGTGGCGGTGTAACCAACTCTGCATCATCCTTCTGGTTTGTCATCGTGGGAGAGGTCGATGCGCGAAGTGATGCGGAATACTGAGCTTGGAGAAGTTCGTGCGCACGATTCAGATCATTGAACTTTTTGACCATGTCATCGGTCTGGGCGGCAGGTGCGAGAGAGGTGTGATGCTGTTGAAGAAATTGAAGTACCAAGTTGGCCAAATGGTCGTGGACCTTGATGCGCTGATTGAAGTCATCGATGTTGAGACCCAGCGTGTTGGCAAGGTCCTTTTCCAGGGTGAGCAGGTTGAGTGACTGCGATCTTCGTAGTAATTTGGAACAGGTACTCCAAAGTAAGGCCTCGGTGCGGGTGCGAAAGCCTTCCCACGTCACGAATCGGCCGTGTGCAAACGGCCTGAGTAGCCAGTTGGTGAGGCCCCCGTGGATAACCTGAACCAGGCGAACGTCCCTAATATCCATGCCTGACATGTCGCGAAGGTTGCCATGCGGAGTGTTGGCAACAATCATGGGCAGGCTGAAGTTGTAGAGCTGATTGACATCAAACATGCCGTCTCCAGGTGTCCAGTCAGGTGAGGGAGTAAGCCAGGCTTTCTGAGGACGAACCGGTAGAGCCGCATGAGGTCCGGGTGACGGTGTAGGTTGGGAAGTAGTAACCGGTGGTGGCATCACTGGTGGCATGAACTTGGATGGCGTGGGATCTGGAGGGATCGGCATCATGTAGTTGATCGCTGGGTATTGGAATTGTTGTGTGGGATTGTGAGTCGATTGAAAGTTGGTAGGCATCATCGGAAAGTTGTTGGCAGCGTTGTAGCCGGAGTTGTGTTGCCATGAAGCCAAGTTGTTCCAATCCATGTTCTCCGAGACCTGGTTGTCATTGTGCTCACGTCGGCGTGCTTTGTGAGCTTGAGGGGACGGACTCCGATCACGTCTGCGCCGAGTCCTGGATCTATCACGATCATCACGTCGAGACATGGTGACTCAACTGACTCTGAATCTGCACACTTCCACCTTGAGAGAATCGGACCCGACAACATTCAAATCAATGCAAATGCAAGTTAACGGCCCCAGCTGCAATGGTCGATCGACATGTTCAAGGCAAAGCAAATACAAATCAGCAATCGTCAACCGCAATGATACGAGCAACAAGTTCAACCAATGGTCAGCAAATGCAATGAAAGTCGGCAGCCAGCCGCTGTGGTGAGACGTCACTATGGTCTGGTGGCTGTCTTCCCTTTAGTGAAACCTCGTTCCTGGTTAAATGTGAAATCCCGCTGTTCTATGATAAGCACGTTGAGGTCAAATTTTCCGACAGAGCCGGCCCGGGGTCACACAATGGGTACACCCGAGGATTCCCCACGAATGGGGTGTACACACTTGAACTCCAGATGGAGAATGCTCATCTTTCGAGTACAACTGATGAGTCTCGAGTACAACTGATGAGTCTCGAGTAAGATAAGTTTCGGCTCACGATGCACTCGGCTTCCCTCTAGTGACGAAAACGTTACCCGAAAGAACAAGAAGCACAAACAGCGCCGCAACCAAGGGGGCCAAAAGACATTCAGAGATCACTTGCAGGTACGCATTGAGGCGTCCGCTGGCAACAGAAAAAAAAGTTTTGGTGGCAGGGTTTTTCTGCCACTCCGCACACACACACACACACACACACACACAAACACAAACACACACAACACAAACACAAACACACACAAACACAAACACAAACACAAACACAAACACAAACACAAACACAAACACACACAAACACAAACACAACACAAACACAAACACAAACACACACACAAACACACACAAACACACAACACACACAAACACACACACACACACACACACACACACACACACACACACACACACACACACACACACACACACACACACACACACACACACACACACACACACACACACACACACACACACACACACACACACACACACACACACACACACACACACACACACACACACACACACACACACACACACACACACACACACACACACACACACACACACACACACACACACACACACACACACACACACACACACACACACACACACACACACACACACACACACACACACACACACACACACACACACACACACACACACACACACACACACACACACACACACACACACACACACACACACACACACACACACACATAATACATATCAGCGTGGGTTGGTTCAGAGCGGGTATATTTTGCCCGCTGAAGTTTGCCTTAGCGGCTGTTCAGCCGCGGATTAAAATTATTAATTAACAAATAAATAAATACGAATAATCATAATAATAGAGAAAAAAGCAAGAAAGGGGAAACAACATCGTCCAAAACCAAGCGGAGGCTTCGGGGCTTCCAGCCATGGCTCCGAAGGTTCAGCTGGTTGTGCGGCACCTCGTCGGCCGGGGAGAGCGCGCTGCATGGGAAGAGCGGGGCGCATTGGGGAGCTCTTCCCATTCTGAGCCGGGGGAGCGCGCTTTTCCAAGCTAAGTCATATAAGAACATCAACAAATGGGAATGCGGGGGGCTTTTTTTCCCAAGCTAAGTAAAAAAAAAAGAACATCAATAAGTTTGGGAATGCGTCAAAATCGGGGGACCCCAACATCAAAATGGCGGCGTTCGTTTTGATGTTCCCTGTGAACCTAAACAGGGCAACTCCAAAGCCTCAGCCCCAAGCCCCATGCGGGCACCTGGGGCTTCGGGCCTGACGTGACTTTGTCATTGAAAAAACGCATTTCCAACTGGAACGGGACTCTATTCAGGAATAGCATGGCTCAGGAAAAGAGTGGGACGCGATACAGGAATAGAATGGGACTCCATGAAAATGTTCCGCAACGGAGAGGGAGTTTGGCAGTTCTCTTGTTGCGTCCCCTTTTGGTCCACTTCAGTTTCGCTTCCGAAAAGGTGATCACCGTTTTTTCCCGGGTCAAGTTGGGCAAGGGAGAGGGAGTTGTTTTTTTGCCCCGCGCGGTTGAGGCACCTCTCCGGAGCTTTGTGCGCGGAGCTGGCGCTGGAGAGCAGTGCCACGGTGCAGCAAGTCCTGCAAAGCCTGCCGCCATCTGAAGCGCCGCCCGGCGAGCCCACCAGAAGAAGGCTGCTGTTCCAGGCATGGCTGCCGGCTTGCCCCCTCAAAAATGGAATTGTGGGAGGGTCACCTTCCTGGAATTCCGTTTGTGGTAACCCATTTTCTCTTTTTTATGGGGAAAACTAGATAAGTTGAATTGGGGACCCCCCAGCCCCCTTCCCCCTAAGGTAGTGGGGATGCGGGCTTTTGATGGGTTTAGGCAAGACTTGGTGGGGGTTTTGATGGGTCCTGACTGAAAGCTTGTGGGAACCTATGTAGCTGTTGCAAGGGAGGACTCGGAGCTGGGCTTCGGTATGCGAATTTGCTTAGGGAGCTGGACTCGGAGCTAGCGATGGGGGGCTGAGGCTTTTTGTAGCGTTCAGTTCGGAAAACCCCTGATTTCGACCCAAAAAGTTCTTAAGGTCTAAAGATCCGTCACCCAATAGCAATCAAGGTTGCACTCCTGGAGGTCTGCTTAGGGACATGGTAGTTGCCCAGGTTCGGAGTGCTTCGGAATAAGGTTCGGAGTTCCAGGCGTCCCGGGTTTCCAGTTTGGGATTGCCAGTGGTTGCCCTGCTTTCGTTTTCTTGAATGCTACAGTAGGCTTGGATCTTGAACCTTTGACCTTTCATCCCAGTGGTTGTTACTGTGGTTTGCCAGTGATCTTGAACCTTTGACTTGCTGCCGAAATCAGGCTTGTGAATCACAACGACTTTATCACGAGCGGTTCTGGGTCCCAGCTGTTCAGATTCCCGTTTTTCCTATGAGTGGAACGGGGGGGGGGAGAAATGTCCCTAGCTCTTATTTCAAAGTTTGTGTTTTCTATTTTTTTAGGGTAGGCCAAATTAGAAGCAGAGAGCGGAACCACGATTTTCTGCGTACTTTTGGGCCAAGTTAAAGCACAAGGAAAAGTTGCCCGATGATTTTGTTCCGTAGAAGTTGGCTGGAGACGTGGCATGCAGGGGGCACACCCTCTCGCTTCTTGTTTGGTAGGTTCCGGATCTTCAATGAACAAGTGTAAATCTTGGTGGCAACCCCCGAGGCAAGGCAAACCAAAACAGGAACCGTGAAAAAACTGGGCGCCAAAACTGGTTTGCGGGATGTCATTTGGTTTTATCCGGTTTTGTTCGGCTTTATTTGCAAAGCCGGACTCCGGACTCCAGCCAAAACCACACCCGCCTTTCACGTCACGCTCCGGATCGCTTCGGATGGCCAGGGGCGTCTGCTGGAGGAGACGGCGACTTTGAGGGAGCTGAAGCTGGAAGCGCCGATCGAGCTGCAGCCTTTCGGCGGAATGGACTCCGAAGCTGTCCGCCAGCCTTTCGGCGCCCTTTCTCACCCCTTTTTTGGAGCCGAAGCGCACAGGCGGTTTGTTGAAGATGATGGACCCCCGTTTTGGGTTGGGTTTAAAGTTTAAAGGCTAGGTCCCCCGGCTATGGTGCCCTTGTACCGTTTCCTTTTTGGTTGGGAGGGGTCCCCTACAAAAATAGACTACAGAACAAAAGTTGGTGCCAACTTATTCTATCCTCTCTACTGGAGGACCTAGGGAACCTTTGGAAAGTCCGACGTGGCTTCCCAGGGTAATTTTGAGCCCGGATTGATGGAGTTTGGTTGACCAGCAGGGTTCAGACCGCTTTTGGAGGGAAGACCGCCAGACGAGTCAGCACCAACATCCAGCAAGTACCTATGTTGAAAAGACCAAGTTTTAGTGGGAAAGTTCCAGGACTTGTGTGGCTAATTCAGTGAGGAAGTGAGATGTCTACGGTGATTCCAACCATTTTTCCAACCATCGTCTTTTGAAATTAAAATTCCGCCGTTTTCCGTTGGCCGCCGAATAGTTTGGTTGAGCATGGGTATGAACGCGGGAAACCCAATTGTTTCGACCCGATGTTGCAATTCTTTGTGTTTGGTTTCATGTTTGGTTCATAGCCGGAGCTTTTGACCTTTGGGTTTGCCTTTCGCTATTGGCCCGCGTTAAAGGCGCTTGCGTGCTTTTTCTGCACATTCTTAGTTGGCGAGTATGGCGCACACATCGCTTATTTGCGGAACTGAGGTTCCAATAAAGAAGAATACAGACAAGCGCACGGAGGATTGGGGGAAGCGCAGCAAACAAAACAAGTGGTGTACATCTTCACACCCAAAGCCACATGAGCATGGTGTAAATCTGTGAGGTACCTCACAGGATATATTTGTGCCCGCTTCAAAAAAGGTCACGTTCGAAGTTTGAGGATCTGACCATGTTCTTACGCCGGAATTGGAAAGGCTCGTGCAGCAGTCGCAGAAACTGGAGCGCCTCACTGCAAAGCCGGAGGGCGCCCAACGAATTCAGCACCTCGGAAAGATTTTCGGCAAGGGCGGTGTGAGCTGTTTCTGTGGTTTTTGAGGGTATCCTTTTGTATCCTCAGGTTGGTTTGGGGGACACGTAGAGACAGTCCCTTCAGTGGGTCTTACTCGGGTTGACACTTTCGGAAGGTTTCATGAGTTTAGGGGGCCAATTCCCAGCAGCAACCTGAGCTTTGGCCTGAACGGAAGTGTTCTCTGTTGTGTTCTCTGAGCCCAGTGGATCCATTTACCCATTTAGGTAACCAAGGGCGGGAATTTGCCAATTCTCCCAGATGCTCTCTTGTCACTTGTCCCTTCGAATCGACTTTCCGGCCCTAAGGCTTTGAGGTTGAGGGGTTTTCCGTGTCCCAAAATGGGTGACCTTGCCCAGTGGATCCCAGTTGCCCTTATAGTAATTATAGTACCTTATGGTGTTTTTTTTCTAGCAGGTAAATGGACCCACTGGGTTGGAGTTTCCACGTTGGCTGTTTAACTCACCCAAGGCGACCCTCCCACCAGCAAAAATGGGTGGACGTAAGTCCCTCCAGAAAGTTGTTGGTGGACTCACTCACCAGGTTTCTGGACTTGAAACTTGTTTGGTTTCGACCATTCTAGTGGAATACCAGAAGTTTGGTTACTTGTTTACCTTATTTTGGTCCATCGTCTCGATCGAAAGTGAGTGGACATGAGAGTGTATCAACCTCTGGTATGTGCCCCTAGTTCATGGGATAATTACAAGCTAGTGATGGCTCAATTGTCGGAACGTTGGGGTCCAAAATGGCCATGGGTTTGTTTGTGGACCTACACGCCCTCAGCCTTTGACTAATGTCTAGGTCCCCCCAGAAGTGCCCTTTTACCTTTTTGGGGGCGGGTTCCCCTACTAAAATAGACTACAGAAAAAAGGGTACCCTTATTCTAACCTCTCTACTGGAGGACCTGTCCTCCAAAAGGTTTTAAGATGAATACCCCTCGTCTACCCGTTCTTTATGGTTTTGATTCCAGTCCACGGCACTGGTCCAACTGATGTTGGGATTTTGGAGCATAGAACCTTCCATTTGCTGCAACAACGTGTTTGGTTATAGTACCATTATCATCATTATTGTTCTTCTTGTTTTGCTCTGTTGGTTTTAAAAGGAAACCTTTTTTTCGTTTTTTTGGTTGCCCTGTCGGTTTGAAAGGGAAGGCTGAGAGTTTAGTGGTTCCATATTTACCCATGTAGGTAACCAAGGGCGGCAAGCCAACCCATTAAACATAAAATCATAATAATACAAAAGTAAAAACAATAAGCAAAAATGGAATGGATCGAAGGGTTACCTACGAGAAAGGCGAAACGCCTGGGATCCGTGGAAGGTTGTGCCAACTTGGATGTTCGTTGCCAAGTTGTTTGTTGTTGGCAACCGTTCGATGGCAACCCACTCAGCCCCCGTGAAGTTAACATTGTTCTTCGTGGCCTAGAAAACCCACTTACTTAGCCAAACATCCCTCCACCCCCTTAAAGATGGAATTGGGGGAGGGGGGAATCTCGACCCCTCGAATTCCATTTGTCGTTCCATGTTGTTTTTTTGGTTTTGTTTTTACTATCCCTTGGAATGGGGAAAGACTAAATGGAGTTGGGGATTTCAAATCCACCCTGCGCCCCGTGGTGGCAGGGGGGATGGCCAAAGATCCAAGTAGTTTGTGGCAGACATCCCCGGCTTTCTTGGCGAAACAAGCTCACAGAACCGCTTCAGTTTGCATGAGCTTTTGCTATGCCTTCGGGGGAAGAGCTGTTGTTTTGTTGCAGGGTTCCTTAAGAGATACATTCGAAGACCTTTTGCTTTACAAGGGGCATCTCCATATCAGCCGGTATGTGGAATATTTCTTGAGTGGCCCCTTAGAGGGCTTGTAGTTTTTGCGTGGGAGTTTGTAGGGTCGCTACCTGCCATCCATTTGCCCTCCAAACGAGTTCAATCCTGGCTAGGTTTACGGGACGGAACGAGCAAACGAGCAGGACATGGATGACGAAACCTTCCCGCTGACCAACCATTGGGTTGGATCTTTAGAAACTAACTCTTCGGATACCCCTCGTGTTTCCTTGAAATATCAAGCTTGTTGGTGCAGGATCTACAGCACCCAAGCAACCTTTGCATGTTGCTTGGATGTTTTAGGACGTTGACTTTTGCCAACTACTGGGGTTAAAAACCGTTTAGCTTCGCCTCGCAGAAAGCAAGCAAGCAACGAGCAAACGCGTACAAAGGAGGCTTCCAATCAGCGGCCAGATGGGCATTGGAGTTCTGCACAGCCCAGTTCGTTGCGCAGTTTGTTGTGCATACATCAAACCAAGCTGCGAGGTCCAGCTAGGTGCCCTTTTACCAACTTGTTTGGGGGAGGGTTCCCCTACTAAAATAGACTACAATGGTACCCTTATTCTAACCTCTCTACTGGAGGACCTAGATTGTCAAGAGTTTGAAGGTTGGTTCCGCTTCCAATAGTTTCATCCATTTTGGGGTCTCGCAAAAACTGTCTTACTTTTGGGGGCAGACTAAATTCGATACCGAATCTGAACGACTTCTTTGGTGCATGCTGCTAGGATGTTAGGACTTTAACTTTTTGATCCAACTACTGGGTTTTCCGTATCAAACCACTAAAATCACTCAAAGTTAGTCACTTTTCGCAGGGGGGCAGAGTTCGCAACCTAGGCTTGTTTGCGTGCACCCCAGCTGTGGGCGAAGCTCCAGTTGGTTCCCTTTCGAGAAGCTGCGAATCCCGAGGTGCAGCATGCTGGGCGATCACCGGGTCGCCCGGCAGAGAGCGCAGCTTCGAAAGGCATGGCGCAAGAAGAATGCCTAAAGAATTAAATTCGTAGTGGGGTTATCACTGCTAAAGGAAACCAACCTGGCATGAGCGCAATAGAAAGCCCATGCACACCTGGTTTGGGCACGGGAATTCAAATCCACAGGAAATGGCCCAAAGCACCCTAGAGAAGCTGTTTTCCTGTCGAATTTCATGTACCTCAACTGTTTGAAAACCCAGTTCGGTGGGATTTGTCGTCTACTGTTGTTTTTGTTGGGGCAAACCCGCGGTATGTCCTGTAGGAATGTAGATGGCGAACCAGCTTAAGAGACCTGCTTCGGTGTTGCACATGTCAGGTTGTCGAACTCGAACGTGAAAGCAGATTGGAGGAACTGTGCACATATGTCAGGTCACTAGGGATGTTGTGGGACTCGGCTCGCTGGCATTGAAACAGGCCGAGTGGAGCCTATTTTTGGCAGTGGGGCGCAATCATCCTTTTGGCAACTTACATGCCGGTCATCTCAATGTGTTGGGCAGCGAGATTTATTGAGAAGGTGCGAGAAAAGTTGGTGCGCGTGTGGCGGGCGAATGGATATGTCACCAACTGCAGCCCTCTGTGGGGTTGGCTTTGGGATGCTCCAGCACTTTCATAAGCTCCAGTGGAATCAACACAAAATGACGTGATTTCAACCATAGGTGTCCCCTTTAAGGTTACTTCGCAAAGAAACAGATGGCACCGGGTTGGGAGGGTTTTGTTCCACCAGTGCCATCGTTTAGGTCCCCTATGGTTCCAGCGCTGGGCTTTTTGAAGCGAACACCTCCGCCACGTGTTTTCATGCCAAGCCCGCCTTCCCTTCACCGAGGCGGGGAAGACAAGTTTGCTGACACGCTTCGTGGGAGAGCCCTGGGTGGAGGATAACTTCCCCGCGCGCATTGGCCTCGACTTTAAGAAGGCGAACGGAGGGTCCTGGGGTCTCCAAAACCATCGGGTCTTCTCCACAATTATATTCAAGGAATGCGAAACGGGGATGTGTGTTTGGGGGACCGCCCGGCTTTCTTTTTGGCAGGGGCCTCTCAAAAAAGGCACCCACATATAGAGCAGAGTCAGAACATGATATCTTCAGTTGGTCACCAAAAAATGTGGCCGCGTCTCAAAACAGGGGAGTCTGATACTCGATGTCATTTTGGTCGGCATTTTGTTGGAACGCACCTGTGACTCAGGGGGGCGGATGTTGTTGTTTTCTCTCCGGGGGGGCACCAAAGGCAGAAACTGGGGTTGTCCGTCTAACCTACCGCCAAGGTGGCTTTCAGAGTGGTAAGCTTGAGGCCAGCTCTGGGGGAACTTCCACCGACTCAGTTGTCCAAAGAACCCAGAAATGAAAGGCTAACCTGTTGCGGTCATGACGAGAAGTGGACCAAGCAGGGCAAATTGAAAGAGGGGACCTCACTAAGCCTCACGTCAATTTAGGTACCTCAGACAAACCCACTTCACAACTGGGACTTATATCTGGGCTTCAAGGGCATACTTGCTGAAGAAACTGGGTGTGGGTCAAAAAGGACACCCGGCTAAATGCCGAATGCAAGGACTAAAGCCTTTGGGTCCATATCCTGGTGGTTTAACTTTGGCCCATACCCAGATAGTTTGTTTGTCTGGTATCTTCGATTTTGGTTGTTTTGCGCAATTTTTGGCGGACCACAAATTAATAGAGACCAACCCACTTGGTATTGAAGTGGAAGCGAGTTGCTTCGCGACCCTCAATTGGGGTTTGGGGGCTTGAGCCCCAGTTTCCTTTGACGCTTGGGGAAGGTACCCTAGGGTGAGGGTCGCCCTGATTGACCTGGCCGAACATAATCTATCAGGGCCACCTATTCTCCAAAACGGCTCCGTCAGGTCAGTCTGATGGCCGGGGACGTGGGTTTGGAGCTGATGCTTTGGGATGCGCCGGCGGGCAAGGAGACGTTGGTTTCAGTACTTGCTTGCCCCGAAGGTTGGTGGCAGCAAGCTTGCTTTTGCGTGAGATGTTGGGACCGCTAGTTTTGGTAAATGCCCTTCTGCGTGTTGCCTTTGTCCACAGATGTTGTTGTACCTTTTTGGACATGATGTCCAGAACTATGAGCAGAAACAACTTCTAAAAGCTTACCACTACAATGACTAAATATGGTGCAAAAGCACCGCAGATTCCAATTCTATGTGTTCAGGGACTTGTGCTGTTTTTTTTGGGTTTGTTGTTTAAGAGGCTTCTCTTCTGTTTCCCCTGCTTGGAAAGACATTTTGTGGAGACGGATGGGATCCATCTCTGGATTTCGTGCGGAGCCTGAACAACAATGTGATTTCACCTATGATAGTTCTTTACTTGATAGGGTTGCTACTAACTCAGCCTTCACGTACCGGCTCTGCCGGTGAGTCTTGACGTCTCTTCTGATAAGATTCTGGATTAAGACCGTTGGGCTTCCCTTCTGCAGTCAGTCTGCAGCCCACATGAGACCGGTCCCACCAGTCCACGGCGCGAGCCACGGACGGTCCACCGGTCCTGGGAAACCGAAGAAAAATATGAGGATTACTTCATTCCAGTTACCTCGCACGCCGGTCCCCTCTGCAAGAGGCTAGGACGAGAGGCAGGGTCGGCGGATTATTGATTTTCCCTGGTTGGTTTTAAAGGGGATCTATCACTACTGTTTTTTCCCAAGGGACGTAAGCAAATGGAACCCGCCCCCCCCCCAAAGAAGACAAATCCCACAGTTCCAGGAGCGCTTCCGCCAGACCTCGCAAGTCTTCTTCCGCGGCTTGCGGGAATTGTCGTGGGATGTTTTGCCCGGTTTGTTTCTCAACCACGGTTTAAATAATTCCTTCACTGCTCTTGGCATTTTGTTTGGGAGTCTGTTCATGTTTGGTACTGGAAAGCAACATTTTCTTGCTACGATACCAAAGGTTGCGAAGATTCAGCTTGGTTTCCCTTGAAAGGAGTCCAGGGTTTGGTTCTTTAGTTTTACGGGGGTGTGAATTTGAAATCGTTTCTGGGGATTGTCAAAGTCAGAGAATGGGTCCATTCTCAGCACGTTTAAACTCCCACGATGCAAACATCCTTTGCGTGATTCCCATCTAAATGGCTGCCATGGTGTGGTTGCTCAAACAACTCTTCCGGCACCCCTATGCCCAACTTAACGCCGAGCCCTTGCCCAAAAGATGGCCGGAACTGACCAGCTTCAATACCTAATTCTAAAGTCAATTCTTTACAAGGCGAGGGCCATATGAAGTGCCGTCCATTGATATTGTGAAAATGCACAAAACCATGGCAAACGATAGGGGAGCTCAAAAGACGATAACTGCTGGACGATGGAAACTCTGGAAAACGATGGAAAGGCTGGAAAACGATTGCGGACTGTCAACCTAAGTCGCGAAGCGGCCGCAAGTAAGTAATTTCGACCGTGCCTCATCTGTTGTTTCCTTTTTGTGGTTCGACACCCAAGGCGGCAAGCAGGCGGTGATGCTGGTGTTGGATCTGACAGATTCTCAGCAACTTGACCTGCAACAAGCCGCGGGCTGGAGGTCTGAGTCGCTAGCTTGGGGCTCTATGGCTTTGGTGCGACCCAGGCTCAGGGGCCCGTGTTCTACCACAGTCACGTTGTGTACCCCAGGCTTTTGCGGCTCAAAGACAAGCTCAGTTGGTGCTTTGGATTAGTTGTTGATACCTGAATCTTGTAGACGGTCTGGGGGGAAACCACAGAGCGTCAACCGAAATCACCAGCTACGCTAGATGCCCTCAAACAAATGCGAGTAACCAAGCAAACCCCTCAACGTACCGCAAGTTAGCATGGTTTTGCGGTGGGTTTGGCTTACCTGGAGTCTCCCTGACCCCTCATTACTCAAAATTAAGGGCTCATGACCCCTAGTTCTAGGGGGTCAGAAGGGGACTATTGGTCCTTGCGTTTTGTCGCTCGTTTCGAGGTGTCTGCGCACCGCAGAGATATATGACCGCAGCGTGCCGGACACGATCGGTACCCGCGTGCTGCTGGGAAACAAGGCAGACCTTCAGCGAGAAGCGACTTGGTGAGAGAAGCCGCGCGACAAAACGTGAGTGGCATCCTTTGAATCCCTCACTCCCTGGAGTCAGACAAATCACGGGGTCCACGATATCCGCAGCCCTTTTAGTTTTGGCATTGTTCGGTGAGACCCGTTTTCCCTTCGGTGTGGTGCGACCTTTTTCTATCAAGGTCACGGGGGAACTGGCCACGATTCCCTAAAGATGGCGCTTGCAATGAGGGATGCAAAGTATCTCCATGCTGTGTTCCAGGTTTGCAGGTTGTTTAAGCCTTCCCGCGCGTCGGAACCGAATATCCAGCCGCTTGCCAATATGGCATGAACGGAGGGTCTACCCGAAGCTAGGATTTGGGGGTCGGAAGTGCCAGGAACTTAGAGGCGACCCAAGCCCTTAAGGTGGTTGCAACATTGACCTCAAGTGCTCACCAACCACACAAGTGTTGGAACACTGTGATTCTTCCTTTACAGAGGGAATCAGTCGTACCGTTGTTTGAACCGACCCTTCCCCTTTTTCGCTTTTCGATTTGAACTGTCAAGCTCGCCCTTTTCTATTCCCCTGCTTTTTGTCCTTGCCCTGACAAAGCATGATCCCTAGAAAGAATGCATGCACAAACGCAACTACCTGGACCCTCAAACTGACCATCAACCAAAAAAACACCCCAGAATTGTGGGTTGCAATAGCCCATTTTCAAGTTGGATTTTTTTGAGTGTCCGGGTAAACACTGGCTGTTCGTTGCCTTGAACCTCACCGGAAGCGCCACTTTTCCCATTGTCACCTTCGATGGCTCGTCACGCTGAGGTCTCTGCCGAGGCCGGGGGCTCAGGAAGCCAAGCGCGCATGGGACATAGTGCTGGGCCCATATTAGTCAACCCCACCTGAGCCACGTAGATGAAGCTTACTTACCTCTTAAAAAAAAAACAAAAAAAAAACTTTTCAACTTTTTGGGGGTAACATGGGCTATATGTCTGTAAAAGATTAACTTCCCCAGGGCTTGGAGTTTTAAGGGGTAAGTTTAGTAAGGGACAACCCCCTTGCCATAAATAGCTGCGCCCGCCTTCCTATTTAATTCTTTACATGGTTTTGATTGTGACTCGCTTCATCAATAGGAGGGTGTTCCCCGCCAAAAGTGATGATTCTCCACTAAACCCCCCTGTTACTAAGCTCTGGTTGATTAATATGGGGTCAGCATTAATCAACCAACCAGTTTATTAATATGGAGGCCACATTAATCTGCTTCCCCACATTTCACCAACAAAACAACCTATGTAATAAAACTGGGGTGGATTACTATGGGGTCAACACTACTTTTCCCGAATAGATAACCCCTGATTTACAAGGAGGGGACACCCTTTCAGTGCTTGGGAAACATTGGTTTACCAGGATGGGTTTCCCACCCATTACCCTTGGCGTGGCAAGGGCTGCCAGTCTGATTGCCTATTTTGTGATGTTTTCGGACGCAACACGTGTGGCAACCTATGAGGTGGGAGGTTTTGGAAGCATTGCAAGATTTCTGACGCTAAGTCCTTTCTTCTCCCGGCTGTGGCAAGTTGATGTTCCCCAAATTGAATTGACCTATGCCCGACATGGTTGGGTGTGTGCAATGTGAGGAGGATGGCGAACCAAACAACATGGAAACTGACAGGGGGGCCGCCTGAAAGACCATTTATTTTCGTTTTAGAGGGACCTCCTGTCACGTTCCTTTTTAGTTGGCGGGAGGGTAGTTGGAGTTGGGCTTTGCAAGTGAACTGTTCTGTTCTGGGTAGCTTGGTGCACTTGTGGGGTGCAACAGCATGTTTGTTCATGGTTAGGTGGAAGCCAACCAGCGCAATTGTTTGCTGACCTGCAAACAGCGCAGGGAGCTTTGGAAGCAATCTGCGGCGCCATGCACAAAAAAAACAGCTTATTTTTTTCGGCTACAACAACGGCATGTTCTTGGCACAGGTCGGGGAATTAAATTCAAACGCGGGTTGCTGTTTGCAACTGTGGCCATTGATCTAAAAATCGTGAGGTTCTTTGTCGGGGGAGCGCTTTTTTTGGGGTGGTGCGGAAGGGAAACCAACTCCTACCAAAAGGAACAACACCCGTTTTGAGGCGGATCCCTTGCAAAAAGACACCCATATAGATAGAGAATATATATATATATGTTTGTACCCAAAAAAACGACTCGCGGGACTTTCCAGGCGGTGGAAGACTTTGCCAAAGCCCTCGGGTGGACCTACTTCGAAGTCTCTGCCAAGGAGCGTCGGGTTCTGGGAGGATCACCTCACTGGGGCAAGCCGCAAGCCCTGAGCAAAAGGTCGCTTTACCACCTTTAGTACTTGGGTGTTCAGCCAAGTCAGTAAGTAGCTGGTAGCTCGGGTTTTACTCTACTTATTAGTTCCCGTGTAGTTGGCCTGGTTGTAGTCATTGCCCAGGATACTAACCACTGTCTATCCTGGCCAAACACCTGCACCGATATGAGGTACTCGCACCGATATATGGGTGTCTTGTTGTTGCCTGTTTGGTGCCGCCACAATCAAAACCCGGGAAGATTAATTTTCAAGGGACCATCCCAGCCATAAATTCACATGGGTTTGGGTAGGCCTTCTTACCACCAGGCTACAGTTATGACACTTGTCCAAAGCGAATCGACTTCTAACCTTTTCTCACTCCCCGAGAATAGTTCCGTCGTTTGGGCCCATCCACTCAGTTGAGTTCCCATCTTTGGTGCATTTTGCTTGGCTGTTAGGGCTTCAACTTCTTGCCAACTCATGGGTTTTCCGTATTAAACCACTAAAAGTTAGTCACGTTTAGCAGGGGAGCAGAAAGCAACCGAGCCATGTTTGGTTCAGGGCAACTGAGTTTCCAGAAGTTTCCAGGGCCAAAGGGCGGTTCTTCTCGCGGCCTGTGTTGAGCTCTCCTGGGCAAAGATGTTGCCTGTTCCGGTCTTGCCCCTTGAGTCCCTGCAATGTCTTTTTTTGAAGCGCCCATAGCAACCGGGGTTTCATGTTTTGATCAGTCCGCCGATCTTGATGGCAAGTTCCGATTCGGGGGTGAAATGGGCGATCATGCATCGATCACGCATGCTGTAGGTTCTTCACTTCTGGAGTCCCTTGCTACATGCTTTTGGAACTGACGCAAGTATTGCAGATCAAGTTGAAGAAGGACTTGGAATCAGGGGCTTCCTTTGGGAGAATCGACCCCTCGGTGTTCCTCGATATCCGTGGCTAAGCCATGGCTACGTTCTGTCTGCGAGAGACCGGAACTCGACTTCGAACTTCCGGGGCGATTCCTTTGAGTCGGCGCCTATGGTTTTCCGGGATGCCACGAAAAACCCTTCCCCTGGGAAAAAAAACACAAAACTTGGGTACCCCCCTGGGATGCCACGAAAAAAGACATTTTCCCTGAAAAAAACCTAAACTCGGGCAACCCCTAAGCCCTACTTGCTGGTTTGGTTGCTCGGGGGGTTGAAGCCCTGGTTGCAGAGGGATGGGAAACCGTATCCCAAACCACCAATCCAAACCACGAGGGCGGAGAAATGCGCCTCGCCCGAATTCCCGGAGTGTTCTGCTTGCCATGGCAAGCTCGCAGAAATGGTGAAAACGCGAGGCCATATGAGCAAAGGAGAAATGCACAGTGGTAGTCTCTGGCTGGTTCCTCAGCGAGGCCTATCCATATCCTTATATATCCCTTATTCTTCTTGGAAAGCGGAAAAAAACAAGTTCTGGCTGCAACGAAACACACCACGCGTTGCAACCAAGTGCTCAAGTCGGCGACCCAAGACATCAGCATACTTTCTTGAAACGGTTCCGTCTGAAAGCCCAAAAAGGGGAAACCGGAGCGGTTTGCTCCGAACATAAATGTCTATCTTTGAACAAGCATGAAACCGAATCTGAGCATAGTCATTTTTCCCGTGTGTCTTAGATGAGCCAAGAGTTCTGGTAACCCCCAGTTGGTAAATATTGTTTGGTGGTTTGGATTGTAAGTTGGACCCCATGTGATAGCGAGCAAATGTGAAGCCACCCAACCATACCCAATCGTTATATTGCCCTTGTTGGTGTTAAACATCACCTTGACCAAAGTAAATCTCCCTGGCGCTGTCTGAAGAGGACATATGGCTGTGCCTTTCTTTTTTTAGGGGACCCCCAACAGAACACGTCGGGGAACCCTCCCCCAAAAAAGGGTGAGCAAGGACACTACGGGGGGACCCTTCCCCTACTAAAATAGCCAGAAAAAAGGTGGGTACCCACTTATTCTAACCTCTCAAATCTGGAGGACCTAGGGGGGGTTGGGCTGTTGGGGATATCACCTGGGCTTACATTTTCACCGGGCGAATCATGTGGCGGACAATCACTGCCCGAAGAAAAACCACGCCCGAAGAAAAAACCGCCCTGCGTGCAGAAACAACAAGTGTGCTAGGTCTCCCAGTAGTGCCCGTTTCTCACCCTTTTTTGGTCATGGGAGGGTTCCCCTACTAAAATAATCAGCAAAAAAGTGGGTACATTCTAACCTCTCAAATCTGGAGGACCTAGGTGTGTTTCTTTTTCTCTGTAGGAATGAACCCAAGGGTCCCCTTAAAGGAAACCACAACGGATGGTTTATTTCGGGGTCATTCCAACTCATTCCCTGCTGAGCTTCACCGCAAGTTCTGGCGGCAGCTGTCAGGAGGGCACCCGCCTGGAGAAGGTGCTGAGCTTCACCGTCTTCGACGTCCTGGAGAAGGCCGCCGGGCCGGCGGCGCCTGCATCGGCCCAAACGAGCGGGGGGCCCTGGAAATGGCGCGCACGGAGTTCGGTCAAAAACCAGGTGACCTTCCAGTGGCTTGAGAATATGCTCACTTGCCCAAAGCCGACCTTTTGACCTTTTGGTTTTCCCATTTTGGTCCATTTTTAGTAAAGGTCCTAAAAGGTTAACCTTTTATTTCCAGGTCTTTTGGGCAAGTGAGTATGTGCTATTTAATGTTGGTTTAAGAGGGATCTAGCGCTTCTGGAATGCTTGGCTTTTCTTCTTCCGTTTTGCGCAAAAAGGACGCTGAGTGTGTGTGTGTGTGGGTGTGTTGTGTATTTTTTGGATACCCCTTTTGGGTGTGGTTTAAAAGGAAATCAAAAGGACCACTACCATTTGTGAGTCCGCTGACCTGCATGTTGCAAGTAAGCTTGGCTGTTATTTCTGGAAGCTCGGAAAGGCATATGGTCTCCGTGTCCCAAGCTGTTCGCGGCACTGGTTTGTGTTTTGTTGAATGTTCGAAGGGGCTGCAACTTTTTTTTGCCAAGGAGCAGGGGGTATCCAAATTTGCTTCTAAACGGGGAGCGAAGGAGTACCAGGAGGTCTGTGCGGACATGGTAGCTAAAACACACAGTTTTGCTGACATGGGAGTCGCTCACCGCCCCCCCCCCTTGTCGGGGAACACCTTGGATGTACCATGACAAGTTCAAGCTTTTTGGATTGTCATGCCATTGGAATGTGGTGTCGGCTGGCACTATTACACATCTCAAATGTTGTCTGAAGTTCCCTGGGCGTGCCTTTAAATGGGTTCCGTTCTAAGGGCACACGCCCCGCAATCAAGGATTTTCCAACAAAGCCTCACAACTTGATCAGGGCTCCTTAAAAGATACATCTTGCAATATGTTGCATATTTGAAACATGTTTTTCCACCAAAATACAGGGAAACCACCATTTACAAGGCAATGTTCAGTGTATAATGTAAGGATCCCTGTTGATTGCTTCTGGGTTCGACTTTTGACCTTTTTGTCTTGGAAACTGTCAGCCTCCCCGAGTCTAGGCGTCAGTTGAGTCACAATCAAAATCCGGGTTTAGTGATAGTGCCTAGGTGCGGGTATGCGACCTGCTTATTCTTTACAGGGTGTGGCACTCTAGTCTAAGGGTTATTGCATCCTGGTATGACACCCTTGGGAAATGGTCCAAAATGATCCAAAATAGCATGACTTTAGCCCGGACATCCAGTGGGCGTAATCCCAGGGCGTGATACAAAAATCCTTAGATCTGGAAAACGGATTGGATGCATTGTTTGTGGTTTTTCCCTGTTCTTCCCCCTGTGAGTCTTTGTTTTCACATTCTACAAGGGTCTTTCCCCTGTGAGTCCATGTTTTAGTCAGTTGTTAGTACTCTTTTGATATTCTGCAGGGGTGGATGCACAGCTTCGCCACATCCGAACCTTTTTCCAGATGACCATCTCAGTTTGTCAATAAGGCAGGCACAGGGCTGATCCGCACGAGTGTTCAATCGGCGTGTCCTAGGCAAGGGCACGCCCTGCTGTGTCCAGTGAGGCGCGGGTGCAGACCAGGTGGTGTGTTTTCCCCGCATCTTTCAGGGAGGGTTTTTAAAGGCTAGGCTAGGCCAGCTCGGTGCCCTTTCATACCAACTTTTTTCGGTTGGGAGGGTTCCACTGCTGAAATAGGTTCTTATTCGAACCTGTCGACTGGAGGACCTAGACGGGGGGGCTGGGCTTACCTTTTTACCGGCAAAATCATGTGGCGGCCAGTCGCTGCCCAAGTTTCTGAACTGGATGCCCTGCCCTACCCAACATGGAACCTGCAAGATTTTAGTTCCTTTCAAATGGAGGCTCTGGTGGGTTCCATGTTCGTTTCGATGGGACACGCAACCCAACGGCGAGCTGCTTCGTGAAGCGACCTCCTTTCTCCAGTTCGCCGTCGTGCCATCCACAGACTCAGACATCCAGCTGCGCGCATTCGTCTGAATCTGTGCCGGTCGGCCTTTTTCTTCCAGGCACGGCTTTTGTGTACCCGGAAGACTGCTGCAACAAAAGGGGCCCAGATCGTCTTCAGAGGCGCCCGCTTTTTCCCCAGCAACCTGTGGATTTGATCTCTAGCCACATTGGCTTCGAGTGACTCCGGGATGGTTCCGGAGGGTTCCCGGGACTGTTGGGATTCATACCGCCACTGGTCCTGTTCGCTTATGGCGAGCGCGAAGAACAGGCACATTGGTTGTGAGTAGGGGGGAATGACCTCTATAGACCATTGCTGGCTTCCATTTCCTTCAGAGCATTTTTTTTATCTTCCCCTGGCGGTTTTAACTGGGAATCGATTTCACTACTGGACATATTTCTAAAAAAAACAGGGGTCTGAACCAAATGGAAGCTGGCTGTTTCCTTGGCATCGCATCCCTGGCTTTCCCCCCCTTGCAACCAACTCCCTGAGCCACGGGCTCCGCGGGTTCCGCTAGTAAACCGGCCGGATGCTCGGAGCCAGGCTGCCAGGTTCAGGTTGGGAAACATTTTTCCCATTTTTGCTTATCGCGGTTGAGTGGTTGAAATCCAACCACTTAGCTGCTAAAATATGAGAATTGTTGCTCCCCAAATCCAACGTCAACCAAGCTGTGGGCTGAATATTGTTCGATCTTTTCCAGGGGACTTCTCGCTCAGGCCCTGGCCTCGTTGAAGCGGGGCTTCAGCTGTGCTGCCACACTGAGCCCAGCGGAAGTTCTAGGGGTAGCTTCCTTTTCCAGTCCATGATCACTTCACAGAACCATTCTGGCAAAGGAAGCCTCCAAACCCATGACACACGCATGGCTCTAAGCTACCTTCCATGCAACCATTCTTTCCACAAATCCGAATATTTTCAGGAAACCATCAAACAACCAGGGCGTTTTTTTCTTTGTTTTAAACGATGGTTGAAAATAATGGAAAAGGAATCAACTGTCACCATCTTCCAGTCCGAAGATTTGGTAAAAGGCCTTATCGCAGGACTCTACGCCCACCCGGGGCAGTGTAGACTTAAAGCTTCCAAAACTCACTCCCCGAGCTGCTGGATTTCAATCCTTCCATTTGCTTAAGAAGATTTGTTATTTCCCCCTGTTGATTTGAAAGGGACTCTATCACTACTGTTTTGTTCTTACCTTTTCCGGGGGACTTAAGCAAATGGAAGAACCTCTTTTGGGGGGAGACCATTTTAGTGGCAAACAAGCAGTTTGGTTGGTTTTCGTTATTTGACTCGATCGGAGGTGAGGCAAAAGGAGAGCACTGGATGGCATGTGGCTCAGTACCAGGGAATGACTCGCTAGGATTTGCTCCCCCAGGCGCGCGACGGCTGCGCCGGCGCAGGAGCTCTTGGCAAACCGTGGGAATGATGTGGCAATCCTTGTGGTCTCATTCGGGGGCACGCTAAACAACACACCCATACTGTTCATGGATGGTGCTGTGGATGGACAAAATCCATTTCGCACCACTTTGAAACCATGGTTGAAACCATTGCTTGTTGGTATTTGCAGGTGAATCATCATTCCAGGGTTTCTTAGGTGGTGCAGGGTTTCGTCTATCCACAGTATTGTTTGTAGGCAACAAAAAACCGCAGCGTTTCAGATTTCAGGTACCCTTAGTTGCTGGTTGGGATTGGTGGTTTGGTTGTGAGTTGCCCAGTGGATTTCGCCAACTTGTTTCAACTTTTGCTTTGGGAAGGGTTCCCTTTAGACTCAGCCAACCAAAAAAGGAAGCCCTATTTTCCCCTGACCACTGGGCATCTCAGCTAAATCAAGAGAATCGATTCCAGTTCACTGCTTGTGTGTCTATGTTTTCGTGGGCTGCAAAGGAACACAAGGTTTGTTGCTAGGGCTAGGTCCCCCAGTAGTGCCCTTTTACCCTTTTTTGGGGAGGGTTCCCCTACTAAAGTAGCCTGCAGAAAACAAAGTTGGTACCCTCATTCTAACCTCTCTACTGGAGGACCTAGGGTTAGACGGCCAGGGGTCGGGGTTGGGATGCTATCGAGTCTGCGACCCGAGCACTTGCAGTCGCTCGGTGAAAAGCGCGGCCGGTGGGAGTGCGATGATTGCACGGCGCTTGCCACATGGGAGATCCATCCGGTCACCATCAAAACCTACCTTAATCTTCCAGGACCCTGAAAAAGCAGTTGCCTTTGGCCGATTTTCCTTTTTCAACCAAGAGCAACATCAAGAAGGGCCCTGTTTTTGCGGGCCCTTGGAAGACCAAGGCTAGGTAAATGCTAGGTTAGCAAGGGAGAATCCCAACCAATGGTTTCCTTCGCCGCCTTCGCTCTTCAGACATACTGTGGATGGACGAAATCCTCTTAGGCACCACCTAAGAAACCCTGGAATGATGACTCCCCTGTAAATACCAGCCTTATTCTCAGCCCACCGACCTTTTGATCTTCCAAGTTTGGTCCATTCGTCCGCTGAACTTTTTTTTTTTATGGGACTTCTTTTGAGACTCATCGGCGGGCCCACCTGGGAGTAAAAAGGGGCCCATGATGTAGCATGTTCATCAACCCCAGTTTATTTCTAGGGGTCCCGTTGTCAGCCTTTGGTGGAGTTTTCAAAAATGACTGTGAGTTTTTCTCATGCCACATGGTAGCGGTTTCGCTTGTTGTAGCGGAGTCCCACTGTAGCTTTCAGTGATTCAGATAGGAATGAGGCTTTCCTCATTTCGAACAACTGTGACACAGTACCAAAACAGGGGAGGACATTTGGAGGAAACTGCAAACACCTCCTCCAAAAGCTCCCTAGGCGTATTCAGTTCGGGGGAATCAAAGGAGCTCTTATGGACAAGGTTTCTACACGAACATTTCGGGGTCCCGGTCCCTTCGCTTACCGGGGGGTTGCCAGACCACGTATTCCAGACAAAAAATAATTTCCTGTCCGAGTATGTGGACGTCCCACATACGCGTGTCACCCTTGATCGAATTGGAACCCAAAAAGCATGTTTTCTGAGGAAGGCTCCTGTTCACCCGAGAACCTGCGAAAGAAGCCCCATAAACTTGGTACCCTCACAACAAAACAAACAAGAAAAATGAAATAACCCGCTCCCATCCTGCAAATGTTAAACTCCTCACTCCCCAAGTCTCTGGAGTTCGTACTTTTTGAGAAGACCAGATTTAGTGGACTTTATGTTATTTTACGTTTTGCGAAGACCATTCTCGGTGCAAGTGAGCATGTCGGACTTTCCTTTGGCCCATCCACTCGAAAAGCGCGACTTCCGAGCTTGAGGATCGGCTCCGATGACAACCAGGTTCAGGCGGGGTTCGGGTTTGGGAAACCACCAGCGGGTTTGGGGTTTCACCAACCCCTTTTCGCATGGAACCTGTCCTGGTTTGGACCATTTTCCGGGAAAGCTTTGACTTTTTTGCGGGTCGAGACCTGTGTTCATTCACCAATCGTATTTTGATTGCTATTGGGTAACGGGTCTTTAGACTTTAACTTGTTGGCTGAAATCAACTTGGTTTTCCGTATTAGAACCCACGAAAAGTTGAACTTTTTGCAGAGGGGTCAACTGCAACCAAGGTATCTCACGTTGTTTTTCAGCATTCAGCCGTATGGCTTTCTGTTAGGTTTACCTGCTCTTGCTGGTGCCTAGTGAGGCAATGACCGGGTGTTGGGATTGAACCTAGGTTCCCCAGTGCCCTTTTACCCCTTTTTTGCGGGAGGATTCCGCTACTGAAATGGGTTACAGAAGAAAGTTGGTAATTACCCTTATTCTAACCTCTCTACTGGAGGACCTAGAATTGGAGGAAACTGACCCACTGGAAATCTCCATTTACGGCAATCCATCTTCCCAACCCCGCCCCTGGAAACAGTGAAAGCGATGACCCCAAAAAGGGTTGAACCTATGAAGGGATCCGTTGAAAGGAATCCACGAGCTGAGTGGTTTGGGGACGTTTGCTTGCTTGCCAGGTGGCCGCGAACTCGTGGGGAGCTCGGAATCGAGACGTCTTCTTCCATTTGGTTAAGAACATTGTTTTATGTTGTTTTTTTTTTGTAAATATATAGATATATATATATATGTACATATATATATAGCTATATATGTTTTCCAGGGGGCTTGAGCAAATTGAAGTCTTTGAGCAGGCATGCTGCAAGTTCACGAGGCCCCTTCGTGGGAGATTTCTCACCCACAGATAACAGCTTCTGCTATAGCTGAGTATCCCAGGAGGATTCCCACGAAGGAGATTTACTCAGTTGTGCAAAGCGAATCGACCTGATCTGACCTTTTGGTTTTCCCATTTTGGTCCATTTTTAGTAAAGGTCCCAAAAGGTTAACCTTTTAGTTCCAGGTCCTTTGGGCCACTGAGTTTAAAAGCAAAGAAACTTCTTCTTTTTTTCTGCATGAATGTCCTGTTTGGGAACCACCTGTTGTGGGTTTGCACGTGAGTAGGGTACTCGCTAGTTCCCTGCAAATTAAGATGCAAACCGCTTGAGAGTGGGATCGACCCCAAGCCCAACAAAGAGGGTTTGTTTCCTACCAGGGCCACTGGGTAACTGATGGTAACTGGGCAATAATGGGGCATGCGCTTTATATTGCCAGGGCACAAAGAAGCCTCTTAGTTGCCCATGTTTCCTGTGGCCTTGTGGTCGAACCCCCTTGTTTACCTTGAGTGGTTTTCTGGTTTTGGATGTGGGTGTGGGTCAAAATTAAACCACCAAGGGACCGCAGGTTGTAGTCCAAGTTTCCATTTACCAGGGCAAGCCATTTTGGGGTTACCATATTTTTGACAACCACAGCCATTTGTGGCTGGCATGCTTGTCCAATGGGATCCGGGCATCCACCGAAGCCTTCAACTCATCAGGCGGTGGCGGCAGCAGAAGCCCAAGGGCGAGAAGGAAAAGGGCAAGAAGGAGGGCAAAGGCGAGCCCAGAGGCGAGCCTAGGGTCGTCGGTCGCGTTTTTGTTCTCTCTCTTGAAGCGGATGAAGCAATCTGTGGCTGATTTTTTAAATTAGGTGAAATGTTTCAACCACCAGATTTGGTTCAGAACACTTAGGGACCAGCCCCGCCTGCATTTTGGCTGCCTGGTTTTGATCCAGCTTTAGTCAAGGTTCCCAACAGGTCAACGGTGAACATGTTTCGGTCTATTGAACCTTGTGGGGCCATGACTAAAAATGGACCAAGACGGGAAATCCAAAAGGTCAAAAGCAACTGAGTCATTCCCAAACCCCCCCCCGTCCCCTATCGAAGCAAGTTCACTAAGACATGGCTGTGGGTCAACAATAGGGTATCCCCAACACGGAACCCCGGTACATGGAAGTATGGACTGAAACCTGCGGTGCCCTGGTGGTAATTTTGCCCCATACCCACATCCGCCAAACCACCGAAGATGTTTTTTGAGTGTGAGCCGCCACTTGAGTGCACCTTCAACATGCTGTTGGGGACATGAGATTGTTTCCACTAGCCTTCAGAAAGGCTTGCAATCTGTTTGGGCAAGGGGTGTCTTGCCATCAAGTCCAGGGGATTGCCATTTCGAAAAAATATGTCGGCCAAAGAAAAAGCGGTCTTCACAATAAGGAGCAAGCCAGGTGCTTTGAGTAAAAGTAGGGCTAAGGGAAAGCCATCCATGGCAACACCGCTTCCAGCAACCCGCTTCGGGCTGCTTCCAGGTGCCCGAAATTGCGCCCTCTGGGTACAAAGGTGCGCATGATATCGCCTGAAAGGCCATGTTTGCATGTGAGTCTTCCCAAACAGACAAATAGCAGGCAGCGGCCTTGGCTGTGTATTCTGATTGAGGGCATCCTTC